GGGGGGCTCTGTAATTTACCTGGCTGCTTCTTGCGCCTTGTGGCCCAACTGAGGGCTGCTGGGAGCAGGGGGCGGGGCTTGTTGCATGTGCCCGCCCCCTGGGCTCCTTACTGCCGGAGCTCCGCTCCTGTGCGCTCCCATGGGAAATGACCCCTGGAAGGGAGGCTTTTTTTGTAGAGATGGAATTCTGCTGGAAGTGGAATTGGATGTTGGATAGGGTTGCTGAAGTTCTGGATTGAGAAGTCCCTGGAGATTTGGTGGTGGAGCCCGGGGAAGGGGAGGTCTCGGGAGGGAAGGGACATCAATGGGGAACCATGCCACTCTGACTGTCATTTCCTCCAGGGGAATTGATCTCTGTCACCTGGAGATCAGCTGTAGTTCTGGGAGATCTCCAGGTCCCCCTGGGAAGCTGAAATCCCTAGAACATACTGGCCAAAACAAACTGGGGGCTCTTTGGAACCCGGCCAGATTCACTTGGGAGCCCGGAAGATTTCTCATTGCCGCAGGCCGTTTTGCAAACACAGAGAGCCTTTCTGTGGGTTTAGCCCATGTGGCATGGTGTTATGAGTGACTGCATTTCCCTGCAGGGCGCTATGGTAGCTTTACAGTAGAGTTTTGCAGTGTTTTGAATCAGGAAGTGGCAGGTAGCTTTCAGTTGTAGCCAGTTTGTTTTTTTCATATAGAGGACAGAGGAGGAGCTAAGCCCAAAAGGGGAGAACCCGGTTGCTCAGATGAAGTTTTTCCTTGGATCCTTCAGATAGCTTTGGAAATAAGTAGTTCCCAGATAAATACAGATGTCATATTTTTGATGTTCTTGTAAGATATTTGCTGTTAATCCATATAACTCCATGAAAATCACACTCAAGGCTGGGTTCTTCCATCTATTAAATATTTTAGGGTTGCCAGCCTCCAGGTGGGGGCTGGAGAACTTCCAGAATTACAGCTGGTCTCCAGATTACTTAAAACACTTATTTTACTTCTCCTACAGAAAATGGATGCTTTGGAAGGTAGACCATACGGCATTCTAAGCTACCAAAGTCTCTTCCCTCCCTAAACCTCACTCTCCCAGGCTGCACCCTCTAATCTCCAGGTATTTCTGAGCCTGGAGCTGATAACCCTAGCTCTGGGTTGGGAAATACCTGGAGATTTGGGGGGTGAAGCCTGAGGAGGGCAGGGTTTGGGGAGGAGAGAGACTTCAATGGGGTACGATGCCATAGAGTCCACTTTCCAAAGCAGACATTTTCTCCAGGTGAACTCATCTCTGTTGCTTGGAAAGCAGTTGTAGTCCCAGGAAATCTCCGCCACCCCTTGGACGCTGGCAACCTGATTACGTGATACTTTTAAAATATATTGGATCCACCTTGCTTTCCCCACAGCCACACGGCGGCGGTGGGGTGGGTCGTCGTTTTTAAAGCCCTAAAACGTATCATGTAGTTTGGCCCTGAGTAAAACTAGTAGATACAACAGAACAACGGATTCAACACAACCATATATCTACTGACTGAAATGTAACAGCCGATTCATTAACACACATTTAAATATTTTGCAGTTCTGTTCTCACAACACAGTAAGAAAAACCCTTTAGAATTTGAAACTCATCCTGGATTTTTTTCTGTGGGCATTCACAAAGAAAACCCAGGCCCACTGATTCCCCCCCCCCCGATGTCGTCGTTTTCAAAGGTAACACATCTCTGGGAATAAGACACAGTTTGTGTATGTGTCTGGAACATGTGTCTGGGACATCAGTTACATAGGGTTGCCAACCCCCAGGTGGCACCCAGGTAGCACCTGGAGATCTCCCACTATTATGATCTCCAGACGACCAAGATCAGTTCCCCTGGAGAAAATGGCTGCTTTGGAGGGTGGATTCTATGGCATTACACCCTGCTGAGGTCCCTTCCTTCCCCTAACACTACCCTACCTGGGCTCCACCCCCCAAATCTCCAGGTACTTCCAAAACCAGAGTTGGCAACCTATCAGCCAAGCTACTTGCAGTAGGCAGAATTCCGGACTCGGTGGCTCACTAGCCTGTTATTATGGAGAGGCGGCAATACACACCATCTCAAAAAGAATATTGTAGAGCTGTGGGAAAGTGTAGGAGAAAACAGGTTGTTTTCTCTACACTAGAAAGCCCCCAGTCTGTACCTTTTCCTTATCAAGAACGTCTTAATAACAGAAGTTGGGGGCTTTCCAGTTTAGAAAAAAAATGACAACTAAGGGGGAAGGAACTGATAAAAAAAAGGTAAAGGTTCCCTTGCTCAAAGCCAGTCAAATCTGACTCTAGGGTTGCGGTGCTCATCTCCGTTTCAAAGCCGAAGAGCCAGCGCTGCCTGAAGACGTTTCCATGGTCATGTGGCCGGCATGACTAAACACCAAGGCACACAGAACGCTGTTACGTTCCCACTGAAGTGGTACCTATTTATCTACTTGCTTTCAAACTGCTAGGTTGGCAGGAGCTGGAACTAGAGACGGGAGCTCACGCCGTCATGCGGCACTCGGGTCTCGAACTGCTGAACTACCAACCTTCCACAGCCTGCAGTTCAGCGTCTTAACCACTTGAGCCACCGCAGCTCCTATCTAAACTGATAAAAGCTTATAATGTTTTGCATAATGTAGAGGTTGACAGAAAAAAAAAATTTCTTCCTCTCCTATACTATCTGGACAAGACCCTCTAAGCTGAGTTAGTGTGAGCTAGCTCCAATGCAAACTAATTTATGCAGTAGCCAAATTGCTCGCTCACCACTTTAATGGCAGTAGCTCACAAAGTAAAATTTTTGCTTACAAGCAGGGCTATTTTTGGGCAGGAACGGAGTTCCGGCTGGCTCCCGAGTTGGCCACACCCAGCAGGAACTCATTAGCATAATAGGCCACACCCAACAGCAGGAACTCATTAGGATTGGCTACATTAGGGGTGTGTGGCCTAACATGCAAAGGAGTCCCTGCAACAAAAAAAGCCCTGGGTTTTGACCACAAACAAAGTAAACAGAATAAGAAGGGAAAGGTGGGTGTGGCTGGATGACCACACTTCTGGTAACATGGGGGTGTGGCCTAATGTGCTAATGAGTGGTGCGGTCAGGGTGTGGCCTAATATGCTAATGAGTTTTACTGTTGGGTGTGGCCTATTATGCTAATGAGTTCCTGCTGGGCTTTTTCTACAAAAAGAGCCCTGCGTCACAAGACTCCACAGCTGAGAGGGAGCATTGGACAATGGGCCCCTAGTGGAGCTGATGAAGACACAGAAAAGACAAAAAGAAATGCCTCTCCGCATAGGGTTGCCAGGTCTGGGTTGGGAAATACCTGGAGACTTTGGGGATGGATCTAGGAGAGGGCGGGGTTTGGGGAGGGGCCTCAGCAGGGTACAATGCCGTAGAGTCTACCCTCCAAAGCAGCCGTTTTCTCCAGGGGAGCTGATCTCTGTCAGCTGGGGATCAGTTGTAAAAGCGGGGGATCCCAAGGCCCTATCTCAAGCTGGCAACCCTATCTCCATACAATGCATCATTAACTTGTGGGATTCATTGCCACAAGATGAGGTGATAATCACTGGCTTGGATTGCTTTAAAGGGGGGATCAGGCGAATTCATGGAGGAATAGGTCTACCACCATCAGTTATTAGCTATGTTGGCGTAATGGAGCTTCCATGTCCAGAGGCAGTGTGCCTCTAACTGTCAGATCTTCTTCGTGGTCTCTGTGCATCACACCCTTGGGAATACTGCGCCTGCGCTGACCTTCTCGGTACCGGTAGCTAGCAAAAGGGATTTTCGCGCCTCTCCCAGGTCACGCGCCGGCTCCACTGCGCATGACCGGGGAGCCCCACTCCCGAGCAGCCCTGTCCGCGCCCCGCCCCCCCCACGTGCCTGACATAATGATATCACCTGGAGGCAACATCATCGCTCAGGGCATGTCATGTGGGGGACGCTCTAGCATTTGGGGAAAAACTATATGGTAACCACAGTTTTATTTATTTATTTTATTTATTTTTAAATTTATACCCCGCCCTCCCCGAAGGCTCAGGGCGGCTCACAAGGGGCACAAATGCCCAAGTTAAAACATTAAAACAGTACAGAATAATATAAAATACAAAAATACAATTCACTAAAATTTACTTTACGGTGCTCCGAAATTATATAACTATAAAAGTTCAAGATGGGATTCTAAAATTATTAACACAAGACTCCAAGAAGACTCCAGGAAGAAGGGTGGAGCCCCCTGGTGGAACACAGTAAGGACTTGGCAACCCTAGTTAGATAAGAAGAAACTTAGCTCCTGCTAGAAAGTCAGCTTTGGTTCCTGATACTGGGAATCGGGACATGAAGAATTGCTTTTGACTCTGGCCGTGTTTCTGAAAAAGGATGTGATACAGAAGAAAAAGAGGGCGGACGTGCGGATAGACACTGGAACAAGATGGGGGGGGGGTTAGGCCTCTACAGAGGTCCCGTCCACACGAGGTGATTTGGGCCAGTTGCGGGACAGTTTGGGGGCGGATCAAACCAGCGCGATCACACCACAACATCTGGGAAGCGTGGTGCTTCCGTCCCCGAACTGGCCCTTCCCCGCTCAAATCCGCTTCAAGTTGAAACCACCTACCTTGGTGGTTCAACTTGAAGCCGCGCTTCTAGCCGGGCATTTGACCGCCGCCGCCCCCGCCGGCACAACCCCGGCCCGGAGCCGAACTGCGCATGCTCCAACATGCACAGTTCGGCCGGCTCCCGATTAGGGCCGTATTTTCTCCCCGGCGTTTGATCGCACCGGGGAGAAAAGGCGCCGCCTTAAGAGGCTTTTCCCCTGCCGTGTGGCAGGGGCCAGAGTTGCCCTCTCATGGGTCCTAATAGACAGACTTTCTCCTTTCTCTTTTGCAGCGATGGCCTCCCCCAGCCTAGACAGCATGGAGCTCCTGGACCTTCTGTTTGACCGGCAGGATGGCGTCCTTCGCAGTGTGGAGCTTGGGTCCTCAGCAGTGACTTGGATGGGACGAGAGGACAGTGTGAGCAACTATAGCAGTAATCAGAGTGGTGCTGGGGGAGAGGATGAGGGGGAATGAGTGCTGTAAGGGTTCTCTGAGTAGGGTTGCCAACCTCCAGATTGGAGCTGGAGACCTCCTGGCGATAGAGATCATCTAGAGAAAATGGCTGCTTTGGAAGGAGGACTCTACAGCGTTCCTCCACATTAGACTACGTACTGTAACTCGCTCTATGTAGGGCTACCCCTGAAACTAACACAGAAACTCCAGCTGGTCCAGAATGCGGCAGCCTGGGTCCTTACGAGAGCCCTGCGAATAGCACATATTCAGAGGTCATTTTGTAGGAAAAGAGGTGCAGGAGTTCATTAGCATAACTTATTTGCATATGCCACACCCCCTGACATCACGGAAGTATGTCAGAAGGCAACACCCACCGCTCAGGCTCCACTGGACTGTTTTTGATTGCTAACTATTGGGTGGGGAACGTGGAGATCTGCCCTCACAGAGGAGGGAGAGCTTGTACGTGAATAAAACGTGTGCTTAAAGGTGCCACTGGACTGTTTTGGACCGTGGGCCTTGGGGGGGGGGGGCTCTGCAACTTACCTGGCTGCTTCTTGCTCTGACTGAGGGCTGCTGGGAGCAGGGGGTGGGGCTTGTTGCATGTGCCCGACCCCGGGGTTCTTTACTGCTGGAGCTCCGCTCCTGTGAGCTCCTGCAGGAAATGACCCCTGCACATATTCAACCTGTGCTGCGCGAGCTGCACTAGCTTCAGCTGGAGTACCGGGTCAAATCCAAAGGTTCTAGTTTTAACCTTTAAGGCCCTAAACGGTCTGGGACCCACTTGTCTTTGGGACCGCCTTGTCTGGTATACGCCCTGAAGACAACTGTGTTCTGCCGACAAGAACTTACTGGTGACCTCTGGCCAGAGAGATATCCACCTATCCTCAATCTGAGCCAGGGTGTTTTTGGCCTTGGCTCCAACCGGGTGGAATTCTCTGCCAAGCAGCATCTGTGCCCTGTGGGACTTAATGCAGTTCCACAGGGCCTTTAAGGCAGAGATCTTCCGCCAGGTGTCTGGTTGAGGACAGCAACGGTTTCCATCTGGCTGGCACTCCTGTTTTCTTACCCTCCCCGTGAGACAGTGGTGCAATCTGAAGTTTCCTAGTGCCATCCAATCAGGTTAATTTGTTGTGTTTTTTACTGTTTTTAATCTGCAAATTTAAATTATAAATGTGTTTTACTGTTGTACACCATCCTGTGCAGTGTTCTCTCTAAGCTGAGTTAGTGTGAGCTAGCTCACAGTTTTTTAGCCTCCGGCTCACACATTTTTGTCTCAGCTCAGGAAGGAGGGCTCCAGAGCAAACTCATTTATGCAGTAGCCAAATCGCTCGCTCACGACTTTAATGCCAGTAGCTCAGAGTAGAATTTTTGCTCACAAGACTCCACAGCTTAGAGGGAACATTGGTCCTGTGCCCTGTTTTACAGGGAAGAATGGCCTAGAGCCAGTTTGGTGTAGTGGTTAGGAGTGCAGACTCTAACCTGGGAGAACCGGGTTTGATTCCCCACTCCTCCACATGCAGCTGCTGGTGTGACTTTGGGTCAGTCACAAGTTCTCTCAGAGCTGTTCTCTCAGGAGCAGTCCTCGAAAGAGCTCTCAGAGCCCCACCTCCCTCACAGGGTGTCTGTTGTGGGGAGGGGAAGGGAAAGGAGATTGGGAAGCCGCTCTGAGACTCCTTCGGGCAGTGAAGGGCGGGGTATAAAGCCAATCTCCTCTTCTCCTTCTCTTCTAGAAATGTAATAAATAAATTATAGCCCATTGAAGTCCCTCCCCTCCCCAAACCCTGCCCACCTCAGCCCCCCCCCCAAATCTTCAGGTATTTCCCAATCCAGAGCTGGCAGCCCTGGTTCTATGGGACAGCTGGGATTGCTACTTCCTGGAGATCTGTGGAGGGCAGTGCCTGGGAGGTCCAGGGGCGTAGGCAGAAAATTTTGGTTAGTGAGGCATGGGGAAATCCAGAGGGGCTCCCCGGCCGCGCCTGCTGCTCCTCTTGCAGCAGCAGAAGCAGCAGCTCTGGCTCCACTGTGACCTCTAGTCCTCCTCTCGACCTTTTGATTGGAGAGACTCAGTTCTGGGCTGCTTTTCTGTGCAAGCCGGGGGGGGGGGTTGGAATCTCCAACTCTCTCTCTTTTGCATTCTGCCATTTTGTTTGGTTTAGTGTTCGGACTTTAATCTAGGAGAACTGGGTTTGATTCCCCACTTCTCCACTTGCACCTGGCTGGATGGCCTTGGGCAAGCAGTAGCTCTGATAAGAGCTGTTCTTGAAAAAAGAGCCGTTTCTGTCAGAGCTCTCTCAGCCCCACCCACCTCACAGGGTGTCTGTTGTGGGGAGGGGAAGGGAAAGGAGTTTGTAAGCCGCTCTGAGACACCTTTGGGTAGTGAAGGGCAGGGTATAAATCCAATCTCTTCTTCTTCTTCTTCTTCTCTTTTTTTTTTGCAATTTATTTTTTGCATTTTTAAAAAAATGTATTTATTTTCGGCCCGGAAAAAAGAAAACAAGACTTAAGCTTCCCTGACTGTGCCCGGGGACATTTTGGAAACCCCACACACATCTTACATTTGTAAAATATATTTTTTAATTTTTTTAAATTAATTTTTTGCCCAGGGGGGCTCATCTGTGGGGGACATTGCCCCCAAATGCCCCCTGTGGCTATGGGCCTGGAGCAGGCAGAGTTTGGGGAGGCTCAGCAGGGATGTGATTCCACCCAATCCACCCTCTGAATCTGCCATTTCCTCCAAGGAAACTGATCTCTGTAGTTTGGCGGTCAGTTGTAACTTTGGGAGACCTTCAGGCCCCACCTGGATGTTGGTAACCCTAGGGACAGTACTGATAAGAATATTGTGTATTTGCCTTCTCTGCTGCCATTTTAAATGCCCCACACCCAGGGCACCACTTGGAAACCCGAACTTTGCAGAAGAAGCCGAAAGACAGAAGGAGGGCAATAAACCTGTGGGGTAGAACGGGGCTTTTGCTGGACCATACTTGTGGCCCTGGATGTACCGAAGGGAGACCGACTGCTCCCCTGTTGGATCCATGTCAGAACCACAGGCCCAAATTCGGGTGATCTGGAGCTAAATTCATTGCATGAAAACATTTAATAAGTCACCCAAATGCATTCTGTTATACGTACTTCCCCCCATTCCACAATTATACCCCCACACACACACTTGCATTCCATTCATTAGCTTCCCAAATCCAGGTTTTCAAAGAAGCCCAAAATGTTATTTTCTACAAAAAGGATGGTATGGGAGGGATAAAGATGGGAAATGAATATGGTTATCATCTCTGGTTTGGAAATACCTGGAGACTTTGTGTGTGTGTGTGTGTGTGTGTGTGTGTGTGTGTGTGTGGTCTCAGCAGGATATAATGCTAGAGAGTCCACCCTCCAAAGCAGCCATTTTCTCCAGGGGAACTGATCTCTGTAGTCTGTAGATCAGTTGCAGTTCTGGTAGATCTCCAGGCCCCACCTGGAGGTTGGCAATCCTATGGGCTCAGTCTTCTCTGCAATCATAAGGATGAGACTCTCACTTTAAAAAAAGAAGTGAAAACTGAGACTAAATAAAAACACCAGCAGCACACAGGACACAGGATGAGGTTTGGATGAGGTTTCTCTATTCTCCCCCCCCAGCTTTGAAATCAAAAGCAGTTTCAAAAACACTTCCTTCACATTGAACTACATATCCCAGCAGCCTCCTCCAGCAATCCTGTTGGCCACCTGCTGCTGCCATCTGCTAGGAGTTGAAGCACTACTTCCCATAAGTGCTTATGCACATGCTCAAAAGACAAATGGTTAAAAAAAACCTGGCCGACCACCCCACTCCATAGCTGCTGCGTCTGATTAATCAACCACACGGTGAAAGCACATTGAAGCCAGCTAAGGGGGGAGGTCTGATAAAAACTGTTACACCCCCCCCGGATCAATTAGAAGTGGGGCCACACTGGATCAAACTGTATGTCTGGTTGCAGCCTAAGTGCCAAATTCTGTGTGAAAGCTGCAGATGTGCAGAATATTATTCGTTGTTCCCATAACACCCATGAGGACACTCCGTCCAACCCAGGTTAAATATGGTATAATTTCCAAGCAAGACTCTTCCCACCAAGACTTGATGTGTTGCTTCCTGCTTTCATGAGGTCTGTTATCTTTTGTAGCAGGAAAATGAGGATTTCCTTACTTCCATCTTGGGACCCCCAGACCCCACTCTGGACTCTCCGAGTTGGTCTCCTGCTGCCAGCGATAGTGGCCTTTCAGAGGATCCAAACTCTGACCAGCTGGACAGCCCTCTGCACTACGTCCCAACAGGAAGCCCGGGGGCCTACTCTGACGGAGGGCAAAGCGATCTGTCTTACACCCCTTACCAGGACTCCTGCCCAGCCATGCGGGTCCTGAAAATGCCGGTGGAGAACCTGCGAGAGGCAGAGGTGTCTATAGACTTTGGTGAGTGCTGCTCTGTTAGGTTATCCTGGGATGACGATTCCCCCTTGACAAAGTTCAGTCTTTGATTTGTTGTAGCACCAGGTTGGGAAGTACTGGGAGATTTTGGGAGTGAAGTTTGGGGAGGGGAGGGGCTTTAATAGGCTATAATGGCATAGGGTCCACCTTCCAAAGGGGCCATTTTCCCCGGGTGAACTGAATTCTGTCGCTTGGAGATCAGTTGTAATAGCAGGAGATCTTGAGCCATCACCTGGAAGTTGGCAACGCTAATTTGTTGACAGGTTTTCTTTCTTGGTTTTTGTGTGTGTGCGCGCACCTGGAAGTCATGTCGACCTCTGGTGACTGACCCCTACTGGGGGCCTGGAGGATACTCAGAGAGGTGGCTGAATAAAGCTGCCTCTGTACCTCCCAACTTGGTATTCCAAGGAGGCCTCCCATCTAAGTACTAACCACAGTCAACCTTGCTTAGCTTCCAAGATTTGGCAAGATCAGGCTTGCCTGGGCTATCCAGATCAGGGTTTCGTTGACTGGCTTTTGTTAACTGAGGAAATATGCAAACCTCCCTCGCCCTCCAAGATAAGCAATCGGGTAACAAAAAGGGGGGTTCAATTGATTTAAGAGAAATGCAAATAACTGGCTGTGACTGACCCAAGACACTCAAGAAGGAGCAGTTTTGGGATCTGTTCAAATGTAGATGGAGAGATTGTCTCAGGACCACAGCCGCCGACTTATAGATGTGCCACATAATAGCTTACAGTAAGTAGGATCCTATTATTTCATTCTTACACCACTTACAGTGAGGGTTGCCAGCTCCGGGTTGGGAAATACCCAGAGATTTTGAGGTTGGAGCCTGAGGAGGGGCGGGGTTTGGGGAGGGGAGGGACCTCAGTAGGGTGTAATGCCGTGGAGTCCACCTTCCAGAGCAGCCATTTTCTGTCACCTGGAGGTCAATTGTAATAGCAGGAGATCACCAGCTACCACCTGGGGGTTGGCAACCCTATTTACAGTGCAATCCTAAGAAGATTTCTCAGACTCCTACTAAGACTTTGTGAAACTGAAAATAAAATGTTAAAAGAAAAAGACTTATTCAGTGGGGGGTTACTCAGAGGAAAGTACTCTTAGCATTGCACTGTGTTTAATGTGTCATGTTAATACTTGTGCTATGCTCCCCATTCTTTCTGGTTGGTTCCAGACTTAAGAACATAAGAGAAGCCAATGTTGGATCAGGCCCGTGGCTTCTCTTATGTTCTTATGTACCTGTTTTAGCATTAGGGCACCGGTGGAAGATGTAAAGTAATTGTTATGTAATTGTGAACATTTAGAAAAATTATAATTAATGACAAATAGGACATATAAGAAAATGGAAATGAGAGATTGTTGCCTGTATATACATGATAAGATTATGAAGAGCTATATGTGGAAATAGGAGCTGCGGTGGCTCAAGTGGTTAAGACGCTGAACTGCAGGCTGTGGAAGGTCAGTAGTTCAGCAGTTCGAGACCCGAGTGTGCCACATGATGGAGTGAGCTCCTGTCTCTAGTTCCAGCTCCTGCCAACCTAGCAGTTCAAAAGCAAGAAATTGCAAGTAGATAAATAGGTACCACTTCAGTGGGAAGGTAACAGCGTTACATGCGCCTTGGTGTTTAGTCATGCTGGCCACATGACCACGGAAATGTCTTCGGACAGCGCTGGCTCTTCGGCTTTGAAGCGGAGATGAGTACCGCAACCCTAGAGTCGGATTCGACTGGCTTTTGAACAAGGGAACCTTTACCTTTACCTTTATATTAATAAATGGAGAAAACATTTCAAAAATTGTGTTGACTAATTACTTTGATGTCACCAAGGGTCCCCCCCATTGTCACAAAGTTTTGTATTTTTTTTTTAAAGGTTCCTCCATTAATTAATAAAGTAATAGATAATGTTCAACATTCATGTAGACTACTAAAACAAGCTACTTGAAGGTGGAACAAAGTAGATGTCTGCAAAACTCTCACTCCCCAACAGGTGGCAGTAAATCCTTTTCTTGAAGCTGATGTTTCCAAAGCTGTCAGTCACAGCAAACTTCCTTATACAATTACCAATCCACCTCCAGACCAACAATCCTAGAGATCTACAACCAGAGCATTTGACTGGTTTGAAGTTTTTCAATATTAAATTTAGATATTATTAGATTTTTCTTATTCCATTCTTTCTGTTCTGCACATTCATTCTGTTCTGCATCCCCCTCCTTATAAATCCTGGTTTAATTAGGCCAGTTCTAAAATTAATTCGCCAACAGACTCTTGTACAGTGTCCTAGACCTAACCTGGATAGCCGAGGCTGGCCCGACCTTGTCAGATCTTGGAAGCTAAGCAGGGTCAGCCCTGATTAGTACCTTGATGGGAGACCACCAAGGAAGTCCAGGGTCTCTATGCAGAGGCAGGCAATAGCAAACCACCTCTGTTTGACTCTTGCCTTGAAAACCCTGCGGGGTCGCTATGAATTGGCTGTGACTTGAGGGCACTCTCTGTCACTCCCACAGTTCACTACAGCTTTCAGCTCCCTAAATTAATTTGCTTCTTTCTGCGCTCTCTGCATTACTGATGTGCATGTACTAGGGCAGGGGTGTTGAACTCATTTGTTACGAGGGCCAGATCTGGCATAAATGAGACCTCGTTGGGGCGGGCCATGCGTGTCATAAAATATAACGCCAGGAAAAAAATGATATCAAATCTTTATTGAATACTTGCTATTGGCACATGGATCATGCTAATGGGGAAACAGTAGGGAGCAGTCGATAGACTCCCCCATTAGAATCCCATTTTCACGCTGAGACGGCTTTTAGGCTTAGAAACGGCCTCTTTCACAGATGCTTGCAAACAGTAGGCTTCGATGGCTATAAGCAGAATGCATTACCAAAACATTCATCTCTGTCTTGGCATTGCTTTATCAACCACCGTGGTGTGTTGCATTACTCTACAAATTTACTGGTTACTTACTGGCACAATTTGGAAGTGTTTGATTTTTAATCCATGGCTCAATGACAGCACAAAGGTTCTGGGGTTACTTTGGCTATCCCGTACCAAGAAAACTCTAAAGGGAAGAGAGGAAAAAAAGGTGTCAAACATGGTGGAGGTGCAGTAATGCTAAGCTGCAACTGTCTTCTGAGGTTCTTCTGATCTGTTTGGGGACTACAAATATCATTTGTACCAGGCAAAAGGTTTCATTTTCTGACAAACCATGATAGGGAGGCTCTCTTTACATGTACTGGCAGGGTTTTCTTTGGGGGGAGGTTGTGTTAAACATTCAGATATTTAATTCTCCACCCATTGCCTGAAATGGAACAGGCCAAGGAGGACTGTACAAAAAGTCCTGCTGCACGATATTGTTACCTTGAAATTTAAGAATGAAACTGGACAAAGATAAAGGAAATATAAGAGGGAAAGGAGGGAGGAGCATTGCGGGAAGCCACAAAGAGTGGGGGGGGGGGAGATAAGAGATATGGATATATGATAATTGAAATGTAATGTTGAATATGTTGTTATATCCAAAATAAAAAGTTTGGAACCGATAAAATATAACGCCAGGTAGTGGAGATATGAACTTTATAAAGGACACAAACACAAAGGGTTTTTTTACTTAAAATAAAAACATGCTTAAAACATTAGCACTTTTGCAATATTTCGTTTATTTAACAGTGTCTGATAACTGACACCTCTTGCTCTGAATTATTGCATCAAAATGTCTGAGCTGTTGCAATCTTAAATATGCTGTTCAGCTGCAAACCTACGATGGCGCAGCAGCAGCAGAACTGGAAGAAGAAGCAGAAGACAGCCAGTTCCACTGCGGGCCTGACAGAAGCCCTCCGGGGGCCTCATCTGGCCCCCGGGCCACATGTTTGGCACCCCTGTACTAGGGTTTTCATGTCCACTCGTCGCTCTGATGGGGGGTTTGGGGTGGCATTCAGGGATGTCACCAACGTGATGACATTACCCAGAAGTGACATCATCACACCAGGGGACACTTGGGTTTAAGGGCAGAACGCTATGGTACAACTGGCTTAAAACCATAGAGTTTTGCCCTTAAACCAGAGTGTCCCCACATGATGTCCTCAGCGTGATCACATCACTTCTGGGTAACATCATCATGTTGGGGAAGTCACACAGGGGCGTGGCTGTTTGGGGGCAGGGTTTCCCCTGCTGACCAGCTGGCTGGTGGTGGGGAGAAGCCCGAAAACCAGGGGAACCCCCACCCCAAGCTGGCAAGCCTAGAATGTACACATTGATAAAACACCACAAAACAATCTCTGATTCAAGTGTAGTGTTTCACTGATCTGCACATGCCATCATGCACATGCAGCACAGTAAATGTGCTGCACAAATCATACATGCACATGCAGCAGATTTATATGAAATTGTTGCTACCTGTGCAGTTTTATTGTTTATTGATTTAATGATTTTAATGTGATTTTGTAACGAGTCTTGAACTCGTTTTTTTGTGATCTGCCCTGAGACTTCTTGGGGAGGGCCGAATAGAAATCTCTAAATAAATAAAAATAAAATCTGTAGTTTCTGGTGAATACAGTGGGCTGGATCCTAGGCTTCTCTGGACATAGCTGAGTTTCTGTGAGCCATTTTTAGCGCCTTCCCACTCCCACAGCGGTTTGGCTGAACCCCCCCCCCCCCCCCCGCCACTGAGAATGCAAATGGGTTTCTCTTCTCTCTGCAGATATCTGGGAAGCAGGCTTCTACCCAGAAAAGCAGGAACTGGCTACTCCCCACCTGAACTCATCTTCTTGCACCTTGACCGTGAAGGACCTTTTGCTGTCAAACAACTGTGACACGGTGAGAGGTCGGATCCTGTCCGTGCTGCTGTTAGGCGTTCTGACAGCCTAGAATTCAGGGGTCCCCCATCTCTTAGAGCCTGTAGGCACCTTTGGAATCCTGACACTGCATGGTGGGTGTAAGCAAAAAATGGCTGCCTCAGAAGGTGGAGCCAGTGACAAAATGGCTGCCGCAGGAGGCGGAACAAACCATAGAACCTCAGGCAGTGAGGTCATGCATATCTGAGGGTATAAAATGAATTCCTTCCTCCTTGCTCCTCTTTGGGCTGTCAAATCATACCCCCTTGATCTACAGAGGGGTTCCCACTCTTTTGGGAAGAGGGCACCTAGAGCAAGGAACTATTCCTTGCTCCAGAGAGCCAGTTTCGTGTAGTGGTTAAGTGTGCGGACTCTAATCTGGGAGAACTGGGTTTGATTCCCCACTCCTCCACTTGCACCTGGCTGGATGACCTTGGGCAAGCCGTAGTTCTGATAAGAGCTGTTCTTGAAAAAGAGCAGTTTCTGTCAGAGCTCTCTCAGCCCCACCTACCTCACAGGGTGTCTGTTATGGGGAGGGGGAAGGGAAAGGAGTTTGTAAGCCACTCTGAGACACCTTTGGGTAGTGAAGGACGGGGTATAAATCCAATCTCTTCTTCTCTTCCACATGGCCTTGGTTGAGGAATCCCAATTTGGTCGATCCGCCACGGCTACCTTTGGGATAGTAACTCCCTTGTTATGTCTTAGCAGCATCCGCAGGCCCTGACCCCGTCCCTGATGAGGCAAAGCCCTGGAGGTTGCCAAGAACTTGTCTTAACAGAGGACGAGAAGAAATTGCTGGCCAAAGAAGGCGTGACCCTGCCCACTCAGCTGCCTCTCACAAAGGTAAGAAGAGCACTGCCACATCATTAGGTTCCCCTCACCGAAGGATTTCTGGGAAAGCTGCCCAAGGGATGATGGCTAATAAGTCACTGTGGGTGCGGATTGCTGACCCTGGGTTGTATGGCTGCCAACCTCCAGGTGGTGGCTGGAGAGCTCCTGGGATTACAACTGATCTTCAGGTGACAAACATCAGTTCACCTGGAGAAAACAGCCACTTTGGAAGGTACATTCTATGGAAGGTACACTCTAAGAGGCAGTTTGGTGTAGTGGTTAGGAGCACGGACTCTAATCTGGGAGAACCGGGTTTGATTCCCCACTTCTCCACATGCAGCTGCTGGTGTGACCTTGGGTCAGCTACAAGTTATTTCGAAGCTGTTCTCTCAGGAGCAGTCCTCGAGAGAGCTCTCTCTGCCCCACCTGCCTCACAGGGTGCCTGTTGTGGGGAGGGGAAGGGAAAGGAGATTCGGGTAGTGAAGGGCAGGGTATAAATCCAATCTCTTCTCTTTCTCTCCCTATACCCCATTGAAGTCCTCCTTAGGCTCCACCCCCAAAATCTCCAGGTATTTCCCAACCCAGAACTGGGAACCCTATCAGGTTGGGAAATACCTGGAGATTTTGGGGGTGGAGCCAGGGGAGGGCAGGGTTGGGGAGGGGAGGGACCTCAGCAGGGTATAATGCCATAGAGACCACCCTCCAGAGCAGCCATTTCCTTCAGGGGAACTGATCTTGGTCGTCTGGAGATCAGTCGTAATAGTGAAAGACCTCCAGGTGTTACCTGGAGGCTGGCAACCATAACTATGGGCCATGTGTTAAGTTCAGGGAGTGAGCCAGGCAGCCCTTTATTCACCTCCTAATCACCTTGTTGTCCTCTGCATTTCTCTCTGGATTCGTTCCAGATTAGCTGGTCTTCGTCTACCGAGACCAACCAAAAGCACACAATATAATGTACAGACTTTCACATTCTCAGGAACATCATGCTGATTTTTTGTTTAAAGGGAGGGAAGAAAAAGCGAATGATTCGAGTCCTAATCGTAAGGCCTCTTGTCTGCATCTTTTGTAATGGCCTGTAGATTGGGTGGTGCTGGGTGGAGCTTGGATCACATCTCATCATTAATCTTCTTGGGACAAAAAGACAGCCTCTGTTTGGAAATATGAGAACCATGAGTTGATGAAAAGTCTTCCTGGCACCCAACAGCACAGTCCACTGCCTTAAAAGACCGAGAGAGAACCTATTTGTCCACAGCCTTTCCAACATTTGCGATTTTTCTTTTCTTTTACTTTTTTTGGCCCCCCGGAGGGGATTTTTTTATTGCTTTTTAAATTAGATTAAAGACTACAAAGAAATAAGGGAAGGGAACTACAATTAAGGAGAAAGTAAAGATAACCACTACTGACTAAAAACTCAAGAGAAGGAGATCATTAAAACAGCTTAAGTACAAAATCATTCCTTAAATCGCTGATATCTTTTGAACTTAGTCAGACATGCTAAAATATCTTTTAACACTTAGATTTAACTGTTAGAGAGAAACCCCAGAGCTTCCCATTATTAAAAACCATATTTTCAAAGGCACAATTCAGAGTCCTTCAGCCATCATTTTTTATTTTCTTGTCTTTTCCTCAGTTTATATGGACTTTTAGGGGCAGCCGCCCCTTTTTCAGAAAGAGAGTCCTCTCCAGAAGACTCGCCACTGGACTTACTGTCCTTCTCTTTATCCACCTCCTCTGGCTCACCCAACTGGATTCTCAAAAAGTCCCGTGCTTTGGAAACAGAGTCAATCTTCTTTTTTATCCTGAAGTTTGAAGGTTACACCCTCTGGATATAACCACCGGTAGCTAATTGCATTTGTTTGGAGAAAAAGAATTAAATCTTTATATTTCTTTCTCCTTTGTCTTACTTCAAATGGGATGTCTTTCAGAATCCTGATGGTACTGTCCCCAATTTTCAAGGGTGTCCCCGCCGTTGCTCTCAGGATAGAATCCCTCACGTGCCTCTTCGAGAATCTCATTACTATTTCCCCAGGCAGATTATTCTTCTTTATGTATACGGAATAAGACCTGTAGGCCACATCCATTTCGCTCATGAGATACTCCGTCTTCAAATCTGTCACTGGGGCTAATGCATTGCTCATCACTTGCTTCAGATTCTCTCCTTTGAATTCTGGGACACCTTGGAATCGAAGGACCAAGTTTGCCTTCTCCATTTGTAGCTGTAAAAGTTGTTCTTCTGTAGAAATTTGCTTCTTTTCCAACCTTTGCACCTTTTTCTTCACTTTTTGGGTAGTGGCGTCAACTTCTTTCACTTTCTCAGCTGTTTGCTCCGTGATTTTAAGAGTCTCATTCAATTGAAGCTGCTGAGTAGTGATGCTTTGGTTCATCATTGACAACTGTTCCTTGAGATTAGTCATCTGGTCCAGCAGGGGGCGTAGGGATTCTGCCAACGTTTTAGCCAACTTGGTGGTTGCTTCCAGACGAGGGCTCCCATCTACTTTCGCTTTTAAAAGTTTTTCTTTCTCAGTCCTCTTCCCCACCATCTTTATGAATTGTTTACTTTCCGAAGATTTGCTAAAGTCTCTGAATATACGCTCATCCGCGCCCTCAACAGATTTCAGCATTTTTGCTTCCGCTCCCCCCTCGGGTCTCGCATTTAAATTCGTGCGCATGGGAGGGGCCCCTCCCCCGCTCGCTTTCTTTCCTAGTCCTTGGGGTGGGAATGCCTTTTAAAATGTAAATTACGCTCTAATCCGACTCACAGTTCATAGTCGGTCTTGCGACCTCCGTTTTAACCGCTCGATCTCCAGCGCTTGTGTCGCGGTCCATACGGACATACAGCAGGAGGACCGTCAGGACGGAGAAGCGCCTCAATTCCCCAGCATCGCGTTGGTGAAGAGGCCACCTCTCAAAAGTCCCTTTCAACCAGGCTTCGGGGGGGTAGCGAGACATGGCCCCCCCTCCTTTCTGCTGGTGCGCAGATTTCATCCCCGGGAGATCTGGGAGATGAATCTGCTCAGCGTGTCGCCATAAACCGGAAAATCCAACATTTGCGATTTTTCAATATTTTTGAACGAAACAATTTTAGAGGAGTTACGTACCATCTTGAAAAAAGCTTATAATTTTGTAGTCTTAAGTTTAAAGCTTTTGGTGGTCCTGTCCAAGGATACAGGGTTTTTGGGAAAAATTATTATAAAAATAGAAGAGATTTTGGGTATACGGATCCCAGTAACTCCTGTAGGAATTCTACTTAATTTTTGGGATAATGCTCAGTTTTCCGCGACTATGAGACCTTATTGATTTAATGTTGATTGCAGCAAAAACAATTCTGGTGCAAGTTTGGAAAACAGGTAAAATTCCTTCAATGAGGCAGTGGTTTTTGAAGTTATGGGATATAATAGCAATGGATAAGATATCAATTCAAATTAAGGAAGCAGAAAATACAAGGTTTAAAGAAAATGTTACAAAAATTGTTTAGATTTTTTGAATATATTATTTTATTTATTTATTCTTCGGCTTGATATACCGCCCTAACCCCCGTAGGGGTCTCTGGGCGGTTTACAGTTCTTGGGTGCTAATCACCTATATCGACCCTAACTACGGCCACACATTGGTACAAGGGGGGGGGGGATTCCCTACGGACACCCTAGTAAAACAAATTATATTGACAGTGCCTTACCTTTAAAGTATGTTGATTTTGTATTTTATTAACGTTTGGATTTAGTGTCTGATCTTTTGTATGAAGTTTTGTGATATAATATTTTGAAAATTTAATAAAAAATAAAGTTATTTTAAAAAAAGACCGAGAGAGTCAGTGTCCCCTTTTAGAAATACCCGTCTTCCCCAGGGGCTGTCTTAGAGATTCTGAGTTCCTGAGCAAAGGTCCAGGATGTGGCCCCAGAATCACTGCCCTCCAACAGGGCCAAGCGAGGAGTGGTCCTTGCCCTGTGTGAGGCAGGTGGGAGCTGCCAGCAGAAGCCGGCTGCCCCAGCTCCAGATGGGGCGACCCCAAGCAGCATTGGGAGCCCATTCCTTGGGGAGGGTCATGGGTTGTCAGCAGGGCCAGTGCTCCCTCTAAGCTGTGGAGTCTTGCAAGCAAAAATTCTACTTTGTGAGATACTGGTATTAAAGTTGTGAGTGAGCCATTTGGCTGCTGCATAAATTAGTTTGCTCTGAAGCCTTCCTCCCTGAGCTAAGATAAAAAAGCTAAAAAACTGTGACCGATTTCACACAAGAGCTGCGCCGCAGTCGCGCCTCCCTTTGCCCCGCTTCTATTGCTCAATTTCCCACTCTAAGCCGCGTGGCCACGTTTTAACCCGCAGCTTCGCCCAATTTTCCCCGTGGTTTTGTGATCCTCAAAAAACAGGATCATGAAACCGTGGGGAAAATTGGGCAAAGCCACGGGTCAAAATGCGGCTGCGCGGCTTCGAGTGGGAAATTGACCAATAGAAGCAGGGCAAAGGGAGGCGCGACCGCGGCGCAGCTCTTGTGTGAAATCGGTCTATGAGTTAGCTCACACTAACGCAGCTTAGAGGGAACACTGCTCTCACCCTAATTCCAGGTCATTTATGAATAAATTTTATAGGGCCCCTCTGTGTGGGGCTCAGGGCAGCTGCCCCCGTTGTCTGTTGGCCAAGACCACCCCTGCCTCCCCCCCCCACATGTTCATGGGCAGGATAAACATTTGCTGCATAATGCCCCCATGGCCACAAGCCAGTCAATAATCTGCACTTTTTGCACCCGGCAGTATGAGGAAAGGGTGCTCAAGAAGATCCGCAGAAAGATCCGGAACAAGCAGTCGGCACAGGAAAGTCGGAAGAAGAAGAAGGAATATATTGATGGGCTGGAGTCCCGGTAAGAGATCCTAGTGCTCCTTTTTTTGTTTTTGTAGTTTTCATGTGAGTGTGTGCACACCTGGAAGTCATGGCGACCTCTGGGACTGACCCCTACTGGGAGCCTGAAGGATATTCAGAGAGGTGGCTAAATAAAGCCTGCCCCTGCCTCCCACCTCTGGTATTCCAAGGAGGTCTTCCATCCAAGTACTTGCCAGAGTCGGCCCTGCTTGGCTTCCGAGATCTGATGAGATCGGGCTCACCTGGGGCTATCCAGATCAGGGCCTGTGCTCTTGTTGTATCATTTCCATGGCATTTGAAAGCAAAAAAGTAGTTTGCAGAGGTTTTAGTTTATAGTTGCAAGACATTTAACGATCAAAGATTAGTAAAATCGGCTCGTATTTGGATATTAAATTCAGTAGTCCCACTTCTTAGCCTCATTGCCCTCTTGGTTGTTTACTCCAAGGCCTTCGGCCTCAGAACTCCCTTGTCTGTTTTCTGCTTTCCTATGAGCAGCACCTCATGTCTCCTCTCCACAGGCCTTACGTGACGTTTGCTTCCTCCCCTCCACACAAGAAGAAGCCCTTCGATATCTTCTTCTCCATACTCTGCCCCAAAGCTATGGGCTGTCCATCCAATGGGTGAAGTTTTAATTCCAGCTAAATCAAACTTTCACAACCCTAAAAAAAAGAAAAACCGTTGCATTGTTCTTCAACAGTTGCTATTCCTGACAACTTCTCCCCAAGCAACTGAAATCTTCATGCCATGCCATGACATCATAGCAGCTTGGCCAATAGCAGTGGAGATTCACAGAACAACTACTGGAACCTAAACCACTTATTGATTCTGTTCTGTTCTCACTCACTTCTCTTGCAGGATGTCAGCCTGTACGGCTCAGAACCAGGAGCTACAAAGGAAAGTCGTTCATTTGGAGAAACAGAACTTGTAAGTTGCCTGTGGCTAGGAGTACCAAGGCTATCTATTTCTCCATGAGGGTGGAGAGGGGCAGGAGGCGTGACAAGGGTGTAGCGTCACAGCCTAACAGCATTCACCACTGCGTATGGAGGACCAATGTTGGTCAACATAGGAATTCGCTCAGTTTTAGATTTCACAGCTCCTCTGTAAGACAAATTGGAAATTTAAGATTTCAAATGTATCTAAAGGCTACGAGTGAACTGAGAACATTTTGCAAAATTTTGCCTTTTTTATATCAGCAGAGCAAATGCTCTGAACTCAGTGGGATCTTACTTTGCTCTGTATACACCTAAGCAGGGGTCATTTCATAGGAAAAAAGGTGCAGGAGCTCATTTGCATAATTCATTTGCATATGCCACACCCCCTGACAAAGGGCAGGCATACAAGCATGCCTGGGTTCCCTGCCCAATCTTCTCCAGGTGCCCCACGTCTGGAAGGGAAAGAAAGGCACTTAAATCCCCCCCTTCCTGAGATTCTTCACAAAAGTGGAGAGGCTCAGGGGTGGCTGGAGAAGGGGAGGGGAGGGCAGGGAGGCAGACATGCCTGCGTTCCCTGCCCAATCTTCTCCAGGTGCCCCTGACTGCCGGAGTGCCGTTCCACCACGCTCCGGCAGGAAATGACCCCTGCACCTAAGGTTACTGGAATCGGTGCTAAATCCCACTTCCATCATGGATCCAGAAGTACCGGTAAGACCATCGACGGCTCTGTTATCAAAGTCCTCATCCAACATCGTCCAGTCAACATCGAAGCATTCGACGGCGCAGTCTTCAGCATCCACTCCCCTGAAAAAGAAGGAGAAATTGGCTAAAGAGCGCAAGTCTGCCAAAAAGGGTTCCTCTAAGGCCCTAAAGGCGGCAAAGTCTGGAAAAGTCATGGGTTCTGCACCGGGTAATGCCCGTAAGGTGCTCCCCGCTCCAACGATAGTATCGGCATCGGAGGCTCCAGTCGCTCCACCGATACCGACCATCCAGCTGATGGACTCTCCAATACACCAGCTAGACCACGACATGCTGGACGATATGCGTCATTTCTTCGACATCGATAATGTCAAGATCCTCAGTCGTCCCCTGGGCATGGATTGCCCTCCCTCTGCTCAGTCATTGACATCGACAATCTCAGAGTTCCATACCGATATCGACCCAGATCGGCATCGACAGATCCCTAAAAGCACTCAGCATCATCCTCCCCGTCTGTTTGCCGAAGATCGGCCTTTCGATATCGATGATCGGGCTAATAGGGGCCGCTCACGGAGACGAGATGCTACACTGTCTCCCAGACGCTCCCGCTCTAGCAGTAGATCCCCACGAGTCTTCCTGCCCCCACCACCTCCTGCTCTCTCCTGGGATCACCACCAACTACGTTACCTCTATGGGGCTTATCCACTTGCATCCTTGCCTTGGTTGACTCCAGCAGGTTACTCTGATTGGGATCATTACTCTGCCCACAGATCACGGTCACCCCATAGATCGAGGCCCCCAGCATCTCTTTCCCGTCCTCCGTATCATCCATCTGTTGACCCTCCTCGACGTTGACCGGATCAGTATCGTCCTCCCAGTCCCCCAATCCCACCGTCAACAGATCCAACCAGTCAGATCAAAACCACTCCGGTACAATTACCAGAGCCCGATTCCTCTGACTCTGTGGATGAGGATTCTGATACGGGGGCTTCAGATGTACACAGCTCCCCTGACCAGCCTTCTCTGAACCAGGCAGTAGCCGATGACCAACCTATATCTCCATCTGACAATTTAACTTCCTACAGAGACCCCGTGAAAAGAATGGCCCACTCCCTTGGCCTTTCAGTCGTACAACCACAACCACAGGTTACAGATGCTGTTTTCGATGTGGTACAACTAGATACATCGACGGCTATAGCACTACCCATGTCCACGGTCCTGTTACAGGCAGCTAAAGCTCCATGGGATAAACCGTCATCAGTTTATGGAGCACTAGGGGCACTAGGGGTGAAGACCACCAACTACTTAGTGTGTATGAGTAGATACCAATACACTTTGTGGGAGAGGCTCTCCGAGCTCTTGGCAAGCCTTCCAGAAGATAAGTGTCAGGCAGCCCACATCATCCAAAAGGAGGGCATGGTGTTGGCAAAACAACAAATTAATACCTCTAAACATGCTCTAGACACCTGTTCAAGGACAATGGCTTCAGCCATAACTCTCCGAAGACATTCCTGGCTACGTAACACCAATCTACAGCCAGATACTAGGTCATACGTAGAGGACCTCTCCTTCTATGGCCTTGGTCTGTTTAATAGTACCACAGACATCATATTGCAAGATATGGATAAAAGCATAAAGGCTTCTCGTGCTTTGGGCGTTTCTTCATCCATGAGGCAGCAATACTGGCCTCTCCAGATACTAGGTCATACGTAGAGGACCTCTCCTTCTATGGCCTTGGTCTGTTTAATAGTACCACAGACATCATATTGCAAGATATGGATAAAAGCATAAAGGCTTCTCGTGCTTTGGGCGTTTCTTCATCCATGAGGCAGCAATACTGGCCTCATCCCTGGTCTAGACCCTGGCAAAAACATACCCCAAACCGTCAGTCACCTGACTGGCAATGGAGGCCCCGTACATCCTCTGGAGGCCAGAAGCCCACGTTTCAGAAACCTAGATTTGGATCGGGACAACAATCCTCCCGCAGTAAGTAGACAAAGTCCGGCAAGCAGGGTTTTTTTT